GCCCGGAGGGGCGGCGGGGAGCGCCGGTCTGGGGGTGGGAAACGGCAGCAGCGAGCACGGAAGCCCAGAAGGCTGTGTCTGTGCGAAGGGCGGGAGGTGTGCGTATTGGGGTTGCAGGATGGAGACGATGTGGGTCTGGTTTAACATTATATATGTTGTAAAATTGTTTTCTGTGGGGACGGCTGTGGGTGAGGGCGTGTGGCTGTGGAATGGGAAGGCTCTGTCTGTGCTGTTACACCTCGTGTTCTCTCGCTCTGTAGCCTGGCCTGCGTTGGACGTTGAGTTGGAGCAAGGCGAAGGCGCAAGGAAGAAGAAAGTGGGCTTAGAGGTTAAGTGGCAGAAAGCAGCAGTGAATTCCTTCGTTATTGGGCAATGTTGATAAAAGGAGCACGTTTGCTAGCTGAAATCTCACAAACAACAGGGAAGGGGGAAAAAAACCCTTGTTTATTCATGCCCTGCCGGTTGGCAGATCGCTTTGTTTAGAGAACGTTCAGCCTTGAGTGCGCTTGTTGCAAGCACGGTATTTACTTAACTCACTTTCCCAGAAAGCGTGCTGTTGTGGTCGCAGCTAGGGCTTTAGAATATGTTTATGTGATCGTGTGAAGAAAGTCTGTATGTCATGATACTTCTTAGTTTAGATACTTAAAAAGAAAAAAACAAAAAAGGCAAAATAAAATACATCCTGTTGTGATCTTGCATGGGGCATTATTATTATTTTACCAAACCACCAGGGTTGTTTTCTCACCAGAGAATATATACTTAGTGTGTCAGCTGAGCCTTATTATAGCAGAGTGTGGATCTTTCACCAACAATAGATTTCCTCAAAATATTTCCCACAGTGTGAGGTTTTCCTGTTCTCTAGCTGTGCTGTGTACATCCTTCACTGTTTTGACGGGGAATTATTCCTGGAATGTCAGGTTTTGAGGATGTTGGGTTATACCTTCCCTCCTCCCCCCTCTTTTTTTTTTTTTTTTTGTTATATATCGGGAGTCTCTGCAAATGGCCAGCTTTGCTGCATCGCATCTGTTTGTATCTCTAAAACATGAACGCCAAGCTGGCTGTGTTATGGTCTGTGAAGAACAGCAATAGGTGATGTGGTTGGGTACCGCAGCTCTTGCGCTTCTTGCGATCCAGTTTTTAAAAGGGGTGGGGAACTTTAATGCCCTAACTGATGTGTTTAAAGAAAAACACCTTCCCTAAGGGTTTGTCCTCTGAACTTAAAAATTCAGCTTTTTAAAGATGTATTGAGCTGAGTGCTAGGAATAATTAGTAGCTTTTAAAATTTCAGCTAAGTGAATATAAATCTTATCTATATTTTATATATGTATGTGCAGACACATGTCTGTGTTAGTGCCTGCCCACACTAGAAACTTTTTATATAATTGTTTTAGTATAAGGAGGGTATGCAACCTGGAGAGGTAGCTTGCAGTGTAACATGCATTTTTACTTCCTCCACTAATGTCAAAGAAGAGTAACTGCCTTAACTAGGTTGGAAACAGAGCATGAAATTGTCATTTGAAGCCTTGTTGCGTTTCAGGCCACAGCTCCTACTTGAACACGTGATGTATCAAGACTTGCAGCAGCTTTTCTGAGGGGAGAACAACCACCAAACATTAAACCAGTTGTTTTAAAAATGTGCTATGTCTTCAGAATAAGTAAATTGAAGGGTGGCTCACCAGGCCGTTGGAAAATACTTAGCTCTGCCCGTATGCTCAAATGGAAAGTGGCTATGTTGGCTTTCACTCTTGAGTGGAAAGTGCTGCTCTGTCCCCTTGGAATAGGGCTGCACAGGGATTTATCAGCAAAATGTTTGGAGCATGGGGCTGGGATTCAAGGGAGATACTTTAAAAAAAAACCAAACACCAAAACCCACTTACAAAACATCTAGTTAAGACCAGATTTTCTAAAGGGTCTGGCATGCCTCATTGTCTGTCATAGGGACTGTTAAACTTCGGGATGCTTCAGAAAATCTGGCCGCTAGCATGAATGAGGCTTGAACTCCTCTGAAATACCACTCTAGTGTGCATATGAATTGCTGGGAGCTTGAACTCTCCCTGTTTTAAATAGTGTCCTACCCGGAGGAAAAACCGTCTCCTACCAATCGCGTCATGTCTCCCTGCCCAGTACAGCAACTTTTTGCGTGGAATGTGAAGACAAGGAAAGTAATGGAGGTATTTTTAGCATTTTAAATGAAATTAGCACTAGGAAAGATGACTGTAGTCTATGGGGAGCAGACGGTTCAGGAACCCTTTTAGAAAGATAGCCCAAATTAATATCTAGCTCATGTTGTACAATGTCATTGTCGTTCAAGTCGTATAGTGGTGAAATCTCTTCAGCTGAGAGGCAACATCCACTTATGCTAGCAGGGAATGGGACCTCTGGATCTTCAGGTGTGCGGTTACTGTGCTGCTTACATCTTCGTAACAAGGTAATTCCCCAGGCTGAGAGAAATGGCAGTCCCAGATTTCTGCTGTTTCAGATGGCAGTTCTGAAATGATTCCCGGCCTTGGTGTTGCCACCTTCAGGGTGTTGCTTATGCTGGTTTGTTTTTTTTTTTTTTTTTTTGAGACAGAACATGAAGTTCACTATAAATATAGCAGTTGTGTCATTTACAGCACACGCATGTACTTCAGTTTTACTGCGTCCCATGGCATTCCTATTCTTAGCCTAGGAAGTAGTGTAGCCAGCGTAGAGGATATCTTACATCAGGCCTTACTGATTTAACAACTGGACAGGGCCTTGTAACCTCCTGCTTTTTCCTCGGGGTTCTTTGGAGCTGGCCGGTGATAAGCATAGGTGTGGATGTGAATGAACGGAGTTACGCTATGAAGGAGCAAAGGCCATTAGAGATAAACAGCATTCATAACGTGCTGTAAAGCACCTAGTAGGAGATCCTGGTAAACAGTTTGTGGTAGGAAATTGCACCACTGGTGAGCTACGAGTAGAAAATCCAATCCTCTCCCTCCCACATCCAGCTCAGCCCTGCCTCGGTGGAAGGGACCACAGCTGACAGGCAAGGATAGTGGGGGAAGAGATGAACACCCGTTGCTTAGGGCTTAGATTAGGAAAGGCTTTATTGCTAATACCTAGAGCTTGAATTAGCACCAGGCTTTGGAAACAAACGGAATGCATGTGTTTCCTCTCTGCTCAGAATGGGAGAAGGAATCTCGTTTCCTTGAGGAATCTTTGATGCTTCAAGGGTTACCTTTTGCTTTTTGATCCTGTGCTAAGATAGTAAATGCTGCTGCTATAAATTGCCTTAGTTTAAAACTTGGCTTGGTGAATCATAAGACTCGGTGTCTTGGATCTTTCATTTTCTTTTCTCCTTTTTTCTTCCCTTTGCAAAAATAAAAAGGCTTTAATTGGCTTCTGGTTCAAGCAGAGGAGAATTCTCAATGTCTTATTTGTTAAACATGCTATACTAATAACCCAAACCTATTTAGATTAGGAGTGACAAGGGAGTGTTACTAAAACCTTTGACATGCTGCTTCTGGAATGAGAGCTGTTTCCCTCCTCCCCCAGCTTTTATGCATTAGCATCCTGCTGCCGTTACCAAGCTCAGGCGCAGTAATTCCTTGGGCCTTTTATATTGCCATGTTTTTTCCCTTCCCATGTTACCCCACTCTCTGAAATTCCCGACTGTAGCTGAGTGCAGCACAAGAGATGACGCCTGACTGCTGCCAAGTTACATCGGCATTATCTGTCTGATGCTGTCGGGGCCAGGCTGTCAGGGTGCTGCTCCGCGTGAACTGCTGCCTCTTGGGACATTCTTGCTGCAGTTTAGGGATGTCTACATCCAGGTATTTGGGTTGCGAGAATGTGTTCAGTTGAGCGAAGTACTACTTCATCTGGATTTATCAGAAATAACACAGTTCTGCATTGGCCAGTACACCACAAATACTAGGACTAGTTTGACCACCTTTGAGATGGTAATTTTTTAAAGATTTCTTTATGCAGTGGTCCCAGATATGACACTATAACTCTGAAAGTTCAGGTTTGGACACGTTAGTCTGAAAAGCATTACAGTTGGTTTGGGGAGTTGGTTGATTTTGGTTTTCAAAGCAGAGTGGTTTTGCTGAAATAAAAGCTCAGGTCTGCTGGGTTTCGAAACAGTTCTGCTGCCTTACAGATGGAGATGGCCAGGGCAGGAAGGTGCTGACTCAGTACCTGAGCTGTCTTGATTCCTCTTTGTCTGTGTAATGGTGGAAATCCCTTTTCCCATCAGTCCACAAGCCTGACAGTCATGCAGGAAATGCCTTTTTTGGTTGTTTCCACCTCCTGCTCTGAGCAGTTTATCTCTGTAGGATCGCTTGTTGAGTACTTGCTTCATTCACACTCCTTCCCCTGTTTCCCCTGCTCAGGAAGGATACATGACTTGCTGAAAAGAGAGAAAATGCTATGCTGGGGATACTCGTCTTTTGGACAACCTGGGATAGGTAGCAACCTCCAGGTCATCATTCCTGAACCGCAGGTGTATGGATTCATTCATGACAGAAATGTCAAGGAGGTGGCATGTGGAGGAAACCACTCTGTCTTTCTGTTAGAAGATGGGGAAGTGTATGCCTGTGGCTTGAACACCAAAGGCCAACTGGGGCATGACTGTGAAGGCAGCAAGCCAGGTAAGTCTGCTTTTTATATGTACTTTAAACTGTTTTAAGGCTGGTGGAAGCTGCTTTGTGTTGATTGCTGTGGACCTGGAGCAGCTGACAGCAGAAGATCATGTGTAATAACACAGTAATGGTGCTGAATAATATTTGCTGGCTCTGGAAAGCTAAAGCTGAGCAGCATGGGTGGGGAGACAGGTCTGCTCAGTTTGTATGGGAAATGCATCAAAAGAGAGGTGAGCGCAGATGGTCTCAGGGCAGATTTAATTTGGCATTATGTTGCCTTTTTATATGAGGGAAGAGAGGGCCACGAGTGACAAGTGTCTTCTGTTTTGTCTTTTTGATTGGTCTCTTTCCTGCTGCCCAGGTCTGTGCACATAAGAGGAAACTTGCTTTTATCTCTCACACTTTTTTTTTGTGTGTGTATACATGAGGCTTATGCTGCCAGCATGCTGAAAGCTTCAATTAGTGTTTTCAGACTATATGATCATGCTGTTTAATCAGAGATGGTTATTTCCCAGGCTGATGTCTGCTTGTGTATAAAATTCTGCACTTTGCAATGCACTCAATGTGGATCTAACTCTGCTGTCCTTGCAGAGCTTGCAGGTTTTACTAATGACTTCCAGTGGGAGAAAAGTTGTTCTATCTGCAGTGGGTGCTTTTGAAGACTTTGCCTCCCTTCCCTTACTATGTATTCCAAATAACTATTTTTTTGTCTTATCCTGCTGCCCATTTACATGTATCTGTAGTAGGCAGATTCAATTTTGCGTCTCATTCATGCTACTCACAAAAATGTCAAACAGTGGCACAGAATGGTTTCAGCAATTCCTCTTAGAGGAGTCCTTTAGAGGGCACCTTTTGAAATGAAAGAAACCTGTTAATTAAAAAGCTGTGTTTACTGTCACATCAGCTGAGCTTGTGGATGTAATGCAGAGACAGGATAGCAGCTGGCAAAGTGATTCTTGTGCCTCTCCACTACAGGGAACAGAGAAATTACTGGGGGAGTGTGTGGCACTGAAAGAGTATGAGTCAATAGAGGTTTATTTTCTGGAAGTGCCCGTTCCTTGGATTTTACATTATGGTGGTAAAATTAATATTTAAGGTGTCTAAAAAGTTTATCCTAACTAAAAGAGTGTTCACTTTGACTAAAAGCTAACAACTTGTGATCATTTCCAACTCCCCACTTCTGAGCTAGGGTAATAATGGGTGTACCACTCCTGTGGGCTCCACCAAAAGCCATCTCCCCACATCGTCATGCTATTTACTGTTTCATTCCTTCTTTGAATTGTGGTGGTTAGCAAACTACTTGAGGAGTCCATCCCTCTCAGCGATGGATACGATGGATACGTGGCTTTGTTAGTATTGAAATGATTATTTTTCCTCACTTTCTTCCCTATGAAACAGTCTATGGTTTGTGTCCCTGCAATCACTTGGCAGGGATGCAGAGGGGGAGATGCTGCCCCAGTGTTCTCTCACCATGACCATAGTTAATAAAGCCTCTGTCTGACCTGTCCTAATTTTTACTTGCATTGTTACACATTTGGACTCCCCAGAGTCTCTGACAATGCCTTAGGAGAAGCAACTCGGTGATCTTGGTTGTGAAGTATTGAGCCCACTGTTCTGCAAAAATCAGTCTGAGTTTGCATTAATTTCCTGAGCATCATCAGATGTTAACATAAATTATCACTTCCTGTTAGAGAAAATATTGTACTGCAATAGTTTTAGGAAACACACTTATTCTCTGTAACTATATCTAAATTTCTGCTTCTTCAGTCCTCTAATTTCACTTGGATTGATCTTCAGGTCTGACATGATGTCTTGACGCCCTGTGATTCCTAGATAAGTGTGTTTTATCTGAATGTGCGTGCGTATGCTGGGGAACAAAAGACTGACCCAAGTACCTAAGGTAGAGGCTCTTTCCGGATTTGGGCTGAATTATAGAGGAGTGTGAAATAACTAGCTGGTTGTTAGCCATTTGTAAAGCTTTACAAACATGCTTGAGTCTGAGATGCGGAACTTGTTTTCCAGTCTAGAGATTTGTTCTTTGCAAGTCATTTGGACTTCTGCTAGTGAGAAAACCTGTGCTTTGGTCACCAGTGTCTCAGGAGATCTATGGGAAAATGTTTGGTGCCAAATTTGCCTCGAACCTTTCCTCTGGTAACATACAGCAGACAAAACCATGCTTTTGTACCAGATTTCCTGTCTGGATGCAAATGTGCAGGGTACCATTGCTTCTGTTGTGCATTGTGGAATCTATCTGCTTACTGCTGCAGGACTAGAAATAACATCATCTTGTTCAGTCTCTTTCAAAAAGCTGGAGAAGAAAAAAAGCCCCACCAAAACAAAAAACCCACTACATGATCCAGATCCCCTGGATTTCTCTGAACTCAGCGACCTTTCATTTCAAGCATAAATCACCTTGTCCTGAGCTTCAGCACAGGGTTACGGTGACCAGAGAGCTTGGCACTCACTGCAGCATGCCTGTTAATCATAAACCCTGTAACAGCTGAGAAGTCAGATGTGTGACCTGCTTGGAAGGACACTCTGTATGGATCTTCCTCTTTTAGCCTCTTCCTGCTGGGTGAGAAGTCAGCCAGGAAGCCCTGGTTGCTGAGGAAGAGGAGAAGAGGTGGCAGGCTCGTGTTTGTTGGAAGCGGCTGTGGAAGTGCGCAGGTTGCAGATGTGGAGGGGCATTGAATAGGTAAGGTTGAGAGCTGCTCACAGGTGGGATGGCAGTGGCAGGAGAATGGTTAGTTCCCCCTGCCTTCCTCCTCTTTGCATGAGGAGTGAAACAAGGAAAAAAACCTTAAACACTGGTAAGTCCAGGGCGTTCCACTAAGCAGGCTTTTCAGAGGATCCGAGATAGATTTGTCCTTGTTTGGGCATGGAGCTGGGGCTCAGCATGCAGCTATTGCAACACTTCCCAAGTGCTGTGGGCTGGGAGAGTCCTGCTTTGCATTCGTCACGCTTTTGCAACACCGTCGAAGCAGAGCCGCATGCTGTAAAAGATGCGGTGGAGGCACGGCAACCCTGCTTGTAGGCATCGGTCCTGCCGAAGCCTGGGAGAACGTGCCTGGAAAGGAGTGTGCTGAGGGGTCTGTGGGGTCTGCGGGGAGGGATGGAGCTGGCTGTGGGACAGAGGCCCTTGCGGAGTCAGGCCTTTGGTGCTGGCTGGCAGCAGGTGACTTTAAACTTGAAAAATAATGAAGGATTAGGGCACAATTTATGTTTCAGCACCTATTATAAATGTTATTTGTAAAAAGAGTCATGTTATTAAACTGGCCACCCCTTGCAGAGTCGGGTATGCTCGTTGGTACTCATCCCTTTCCCTCCTTTGGTTGCTCACAGGATCTGACCAAGCTATCTGAGGTTGTGGTGCCTTCTCTAGTGACTGTGGCACATCTGGCAACGTGGACTTGCATTATGGTGCGTCCATCTCAGCTGAAATGGCGCAGTTTGGGCTTCAGGATGAATTTAGGTTTCAAAATTAGAAGTCTGGATTTAAAAATTACTTTGTTTAGAAACAGTATGTATATGGTTGAATGAGAAAAAAAAAAAATCAAAGGAAGTGCTTTCCCTTAGATAATCTTAAATGTGCACGTGTTGTGTTGAATTGGTTGGCTGAGGGCTCTGAATATGCCAGATATTTATACTGGGCTGTTTTAAAATTTGCGTGGTCTGGATCATGAGAACTGACTTCTACCAATACTGTTTGAGACCACAGGATTAGGAGAGCCTGAACTGAGGAGAGATGAGGCTCTTCAGGAGAACCTAAGCAAGTAGAAATCCGGTTTCTTGTCAGTAAAGAAATTTATAGTCCGAGCCTGAAATAACCATCATGTGTTCTCAGCTGTAACTCTGAAGTGCTGTCTCTAAAAATGTGCGTATTATTACAATCACTGGATTTCTCTCTTGATTTCACTTTAAGCGGTGAAAATAAGAGTGAGCCCAGGGAAGCAAGATACTATGGTATGTGTGTGGTGTGTGGGTTTTTTTTTTTTTAGAATCAGCACAGCCTATTTTACTGAGGACAGGAGGGACCATTTTAATGTGTCTTGTCTCAAAAGGCAGAGCTGGAGTAGGAATGACCAGCTTTTTGCCCTTTACTTGGGGATTTGTAGGGGAGTTTAGCAAGCTAAACTTGCATGTATCTTGGTTCATATTTGTTATTCCTGTATCACATGTACTGTTCAGAGGCTTTCTGAAGGTGCAACAGAAATAAAGGCTGTCCGCATGCCTGGCTTGGAAGGAGCATGAAACCCTGGCATTGGCATGGTGTGCGGCACTAATGACTGTCCCCTCTCCTGCAACCATGCTGAAGCTGAAAGATGGGCTCAGGATGAAACGGGTGGGTAGCCGTTTGTGTGGCGAGGTAAAGGGAGAGGGCAGGAAAGAAGCTGGAGGTGATAAATGCAAGTTTTCTGAATTCCCCGACCTTTTTGTACTCAGAATAGTTGTCTGTGCTGGACAAAAGTGATGACTTCTTTAAGCTGAATGTGTAAGTACGGCTGAGAGTCCCAGCTTCTAGGAGAGATTTCAGTGGTTTGGTGGCTGTTGATGCTGGAAGTTCGTCGTTCTTGTCTTCAAGATGTGTTGTGACAGCCACAGATGATGATACGTGGTTATTGGGCGGCTTTTGTATAGGTGGGGGTCTATGAAAAGACATCGGAAATAAGAAATCTCTCCCCACCAACTCCAGAAATTACATTCTTGCTCCCAATAAAGCAGCTCAGCTGCTTTTCATCGGTAAGGATGGCTTTATCCCTTGCCTTAATGTACCATGTTTCCTTTGCATGAAAACATGTAACCAAGCCTGAATTTGGTGAAGGTGAATGTGAAGCATGCTGTATGATTTGATCTTGAAGGCTGTATTTCCACATTGGAGCAGTTTTGCACAACAGGAAGCATTTAGCTTTGACGTGGGCGTTTTATGTTTTTGTCTAGAAGAGAGGCTACCTTTTCTAGGTAGCTGCACTTGGCGGAGGCTCGCTTGCAGCAGCCCTAGGCTTTGACGA